CCCCAGGATGGGTGTGGAGGGGGCAGCTGATCAATGATTCTCATCATTGATGTTTCTATCTCCCTCTCCCTTCCTCTCTGAAATCAATAAAAATATTTTTTTTTAAAAGGAGGGGCTGGTTGATTGTGTCAGATGCTACTGATAGGACAAGTAGGATGAGAAAAGAAACGTACCTGTCGGTTGGATTTGACAACATGAAGTCTTTAGTGATTTTAACAAGATCAGATTGCATGGAGTGGTACTAAACTAGACTGAAATTGGTTGAAGAGTGACTGCGAGGTGGAGAAAGAAATGTGTAACCCATGTCTTGAAATAGGCAGTAGCAGGAAGAGCTCCTGGAATTCACAGGGCACTCTTAAAGATGGCAGTCAATAAAGCATATGCAGCTGAAACCGGTTTGGCTCAGTGGATAGAGCGTCGGCCTGCGGACTGAAAGGTCCCAGGTTCGATTCCGGTCAAGGGCATGTACCTGGGTTGTGGGCACATCCCCAGTAGGAGATGTGCAGGAGGCAGCTGATCAATGCTTCTCTCTCATCGATGTTTCTAACTCTCTATCTCTCTCCTTTCCTCTCTGTAAGAAATCAATAAAATATATTTTTAAAAAAATAAAGCATATGCAATGCACTGATGGGAATAGCCCCAAAGAGGAGAAACTGGTGAGGCAGGAGAGATGGGAGTAACTGAAGGAGTGAAGTCCTGGAGTAGACGGGAGGTGTCTAAAGCCTTCAATATGAGGAGGGACAGTTCTTCCATATGACAAATCAGAAGAGGTTGGGTCCAAAGAGGATTGTAGATCTGGTGGTGAGATAGGGAAATTCCCATTTGAATTCATCTATCTTCTCAATGAATGGGTGACAGTTGAGGGTGGGACCGAGGCTGAGATGTGGGAGGTTTGGGAAGAGAGGAGAAGGTATAAAATAATTAACTCTGAGAGGGTGAAAGTGAGCATCGCAGGATTGCTATGTTATTAAGGCCCATTTGAGGTCTGCCATCAATAATTTAGATTAAAATCAATTGACTTGTGTGGTTTTTGGTTTTCTCTAATAGCATTCAGCTGCTCTGATACATGTGGAGTAGGTGGGGCATTGTGATTCGTCTGGGTTGTGCTTGGCCAGGCCAGCATAGAGATGGGGGTCACTTTATGTCCTGTCGGCCACAAGAGCTAGAATAGTTCAGGGTCTCACAGGCTGCAGTTGGGGTGTTGGCCAGGGCTGCAGTCTCGTATGAGGCCATCTATTACTTCTTTTAAAAAAATATATATTTTTTGTTACAGAGAGGAAGGGAGAGGGATAGAGAGTTAGAAACATCGATGAGAGAGAAGCATCAATCATCTGCCTCCTGCACACCCCCTACTGGGGATGTGCCTGCAACCAAAGTACATGCCCTTGACTGGAATCGAACCTGGGACCTTTGAGTCCGCAGGCCGACGCTCTATCCACTGAGCCAAACCGGTTAGGGCCATCTATTATTTCTTACTCTCTTCCAAGCTCATGTGGTTGTTGGCAGAATTTAGTTCTTTGTGATTATAGAACTGAGGCTCTCCGATCCTAGGGTTTACCTCCAGTTCCCTGCCATGTGGCCCTCTCCATAGGCAGCTCACAGCCTATTCTGTTAGTTAAAAGCAAGTCACAAGCCCTGCCCATGCTCCAGGGAAGGGGATTACACAGCATAACACCAGCGTGGAGCCTCAGCTCTGCCAACTCCTAGCTAGCCACCTCCTTCTCTGAGCCTCAGTTTTATGTTGTGTGGTTTTTTGTTTGCTTTTTACAAATGGGGCATAATCAATCATACCTATTTTATAGGGCTGTTATGAGGATTACAGGAGTTAATTAATGCAAAGCATTTGATGGGAACCCCTGAAGAGGAAAGTGGGACCGGGGTCCTGCCCTAGGGAACAGTCAGCCTGATCGTCTATGTGCCCTGCTGTGGGCAGGGACCACCTCTGTTCATCTAGTCCAGCCGTGGGCAAACTACAGCCCGTGGGCCGGATCCGGCCCATTTGAAATGAATAAAACTAAAAAAAAAAAGCCCGTACCCTTTTATGTAATGATGTTTACTTTGAATTTATATTAGTTCACACAAACACTCCATCCATGCTTTTGTTCCAGCCCTCTGGTCCAGTTTAAGAACCCATTGTGGCCCTCGAGTCAAAAAGTTTGCCCACCCCTGGTCTAGTGTCTCTCACAGTCTAACACTCATTCCTCCACTGTGTTTTCTTTCCTGTGAAGGGTCTGTTCAAATTCCATCCTTATTTTTTTTTAATATTTTTATTGATTTCAGAGAGGAAGGAAGAGGGAGAGAGAGAGAGAAACATCAATGATGAGAGAGAATCATGGGTCGGCTGCCTCTTGCACACCGCCCACTGGGGTCAAGCCCACAACCTGGGCCACAACCCGGGCATATGCCCTGACAGGGAATCGAACTGTGACCTCCTTGCTCATAGGTCAATGCTCAACCATTGAGCCACACTGGCCGGGCCCATCCTTTTTTTTTTAAATTGGGATGTCAGGGCTTTGTATCCAGCAGTGCAAAGATGGAAATGATTATTGATATTCACTTATTCATTCATTTGTTCATTCCAGAAGTACTGTCTGGGAGAACCAGTTAATCATTTTCTGCTATTATCAAGTTCCCTTGGGAGCTGAGGGACTTCTGTCTGTCCAGCCTTCCTTTCAATCCTGTGAGTTCTCCCCCAACCACTTTCCGTTACTTGCAAGCAATGAATCCTGATCAAAACCCACAGTTATAAGTGAGGAGATGAGGTTGAGCTGGCCTTTTGCCAACCTTATAAGAATGATTTTGAAGGGATACCCTCAAAAAGCACTCTGACTACTAATGCATGAAGTCTTAGGGACTCAAGTTTTGCTTTCTATGTGCAGGCTCTAATACATTACTACGTGATAGGTGATAAGCCTGTTGTAAACCAAAATGTGAGTAGACATAACACCCCGGGCTATTTGCTGTTGGAAAATTTCTGGGGCCTTGAAGACTTGAGTCATTTGGTCAAAAGGTTGGGCAGGCTGGGACCACCACTTGTGAGAATAGTGTGGACAAGCAAAGCTCACTCAAATTTTTGCTTTCTCCATTATGGAATCTGCTCCATACCAAATATGACCCTGGCGGGAAATCCCATAAGAGTGTTTCATTACCTTGCCTGGGAGAAACCAGAGCTGTATAGTTCCTGAAATTCCCAGCTGCTGGGCCTTATCCACAGTAATGTCTATGTCCTCAGGCATTCATCCCATTTCTGGAAACCAGGGCTTCAGATGAGGGCTTTATTCAAAGATTAACCCTCACAGAGATGTGAAGTCTTTTTTTAAAAAAAATAATGATCTATTCTTACTTGGCCGGTGTGGCTCAGAGGTTGAGCATCGACCTATGAACCAGGAGGTCACGGTTCAATTCCTGGTCAGGGCACATGCCCAGGTTGTAGGCTCAGTCCCCCATCGGGGGTGTGCAGGAGGCAGCCGCTCAATGATTCTCTCTCATCTTGGATGTTCCTATCTCTTTCTCCCTCTCCCTTCCTCTCCGAAATCAATAAAAATATATTTTTAAAATTATTATCTAGTCTTTAAAAGAAGAGCTTTCCAAGCTGTCCTTACCAGCCTGATTAAATCTCCCGGTACACTCTGAGAAACTTGTACTTTGTGTTGCATCTTTAATTGTGAGAACACTGGGTTTGGGACATCGAGCTCAGATCACCCATAACCGCATCTCCCTCCTACCTCCCAGACTTTAATAAAGTTCTGCATTTGTTATGCCAAATCTTTTGAACATGGCCTTCCAGCAACTTGATGAGCCAGAATAATTATTAAAGGAGATTTTGGCATCAATGCAAAGACTCACAGTGATGTGCAGACCTTCTTTCTTTATTAAGGTAATAAAACTTGATGAACAGTCAAACATCTATGCACATTGTTCCCCCAAAGTTTTTTCCAGTTGTTGTTGGACAAAGAAACTTTATTTTTTCCCCCAATGTTTTTCGTGATTTTATTTATTTTTCTTTTTTCTTAAATATATTTTTATTGATTTCAGAGAGGAAGGAAGAGGGAGAGAGATAGAAACATCAATGATGAGAGAGAATTATTGACCAGTTGCCTCCTGCCTGCCCCCTCCAGGGGATCAAGCCCAAAACCCAGGCATGCACCCCTGACCGACATCAAATCTGGGAACCTTTAGTTGGCAGGTCAATGCTCTATCCACTGAGCCAAACCAGCCAGGGAGAAACTTTCTTTTTATAAAAAAAAATATCTTTTTAATTGATTTCAGAAAGGGAGGAAGAGGGAGAGAGGTAGAAACATCAGTGATGAGAGGGAATCATTGATCGGCTGCCTCCTGCACACTCCCACACTGGGTATGGAGCCTGCAACCCAGGAATGTGTCCTGACCAGGAATCAAACCATGACTTCTGGTTCATAGGTCCCATGCTCAACCACTGAACCATGTCGGCCGGGCAAGACAAAGAAACTTTCTATCACTTTGAAGATGCCCAAGAGTTGGAAACCTAGAACTAAAGCTGAAAAAATGCAGACTACAGGGGCCCTACTCATTCCCCTGGCTCTGATCCGCTGTTGTACCACGGGTCTAATCAGGCCTGTGTCTGCCTCCTTCCTGAGTAGGCCAGAGATTCCATCTGAACAGCCTTCCTACAGCAGCTCCCCACTCCGGGTGGCCAGACCCAGACCACAGCTCCAGACCAGTGTCGTCTCCTGGGACATTGCCACCGCGGCCAAGTTTATTGGTGCTGGGGTTGCCACAGTGGGTGTGGTTGGTTCAGGGCCTGGAATTGATCATTGGCTATGCCAAGAACCCGCCTTTCTGCCGAAACCGGTTTGGCTCAGTGGATAGAGCGTCGGCCTGCGGACTGAAGGGTCCTGGGTTCGATTCCGGTCAAGGGCATGTACCTTGGTTGCGGGCACATCCCCAGTAGGGGGTGTGCAGGAGGCAGCTGATCGATGTTTCTCTCTCATCGATGTTTCTAACTCTCTATCTCTCTCCTTTCCTCTCTGTAAAAACTCAATAAAATATATTTTAAAAAAAAGAACCCGTCTTTCTTTCTTTCTTTTTTTAATTAGTTAAGGTATTACAAATGTGTCCTCATCCCCCCCATTAACCCCCAACCTCCCCCCGCACACACACTCATGCTCCCATCCCCCTGTTGTCCATGTCCATTGGTTTGGCTTATATACATGTATACAAGTCCTTCGGTTGATCTCTTCCCCTTACCCCCGCCCTCCCCTACTTCCCTTCTGGGGATTGATAGCCTGATCGCTGTTTCTCAGTCTTTGGGTCTGTCCCTTTTCATCAGTCTATGTTGTTCTCTATAATCCACAAATGAGTGAGATCATGTGGTATTTATCTTTCTCTGACTGGCTTGTTTCACTTAGCATAATGCTCTCCCGTTCTGTCCATGCTGTTGCAAATGGTAAGAATTCCTTCCTTCTTAGAGCAGTATAGTATTCCATCGTGTAGATGGACCACAGTTTTCTAATCCATTCATCTGCTGATGGGCACTTAGGCTGTTTCCAGATCTTCGCTATGGTGAATTGTGCTGCTATGAACATAGGGGTGCATGTATCCTTTCTGATTGGCATTTCTGGTTTCTTGGGATATATTCCTAGTAGTAAGAACCCGTCTTTCAAGCAGCAGCTCTTCTCCTATGCCATGCTGGACTTTGCCCTGTCTGAGGCCATGGGGCTCTTCTGTTTGATGGTTGCTTTCCTCTTCTTTTGATGGGGAATCACCTACCCATCCTGCTGCTTCAACTCCAGGCCATGCCCAGTGCTGGAATGTGCTAAGCTTTACCATTAAACACAACATTTCTCTAAAAAAAGAAAGAGGCCTTGGCCTGGTAGCTCAGTTGGTTAGACAGTTGTCCTGATACACCAAGGCTACAGGTTCGATCCCTGGTTAGGGCACATACAAGAAGCAACCAATGAGCCCAGCTGGTGTGGCTTAGTGATTGAGTGTCAACCCATGAATCAAGCGGTCACCGGTTCAATTCCTGATCAGGGCACATGCCTGGGTTGTGGGCTCAATCTCCAGTGGGGGGCATGCAGGAGGCAACCAATCAATTATTTTCTCTCATCACTGATGTTTCTATCTCTCCCTCCCCCTTTCTCTCTCTCTAAAATCAATAAAAATATTTTTTTTTAAAAAAAGAAGCAACCAATGAATGTGTGGAACAACAAACCAAATGTTTCCCCCCTCCCCCTTTTTCTCCTCCCTTTCCCTCTCCCTTTCTCTACTTCTGAAATAAATAAGTAAAAATAAATTTTAAAACATGCCTATGAGCCTTATTAGTCTCACAAAGGGGCTTACAAAATAGAATGTCTTTGATGACATCAGCAGCATATAAAGGCTGAAAACTAGGTGCTGGCTATATGGAGACAATAGTACTTTGACCCAGTTGTATACTGAAGGGAAATTTCTCTCTTTTCCACCCACCCTCCCTACCTCTCTCCCTTTCTCCCTTTCCCCCTCCCTCTCCTCCTACCTTCCTCTGGTTGCAAGCAATAAAAATCAAGTCTGTCACCTTGAATACTAAAAATAATTTACTGTAAGTATATAGGGAACTTGCAGAATGGAAGGAAAGGCTAAAGATTCTGGTCAGAGGACAGGATCCAGAGCAGCTCTGGACTGATGATGGTCTTTTTAAAAATATATTTTTTAATTGACTTCAGAGAGGAAAAAAGAGGGAGAGAGAGACAGAAACATCAATGATGAGAGAGAATTATTGATCAGCTGCCTCCTGCACACCCCCTGCTGGGGATCAAGCCCCAAACCCAGGCATGTAACCCTGACTGACATCAAAACCGGGAACCTTCAGTTGGCAGGCCGATGCTCTATCCACTGAGCAAAACTGGCCAGCGAGAAACTTTCTTTTAAAAAAAATTTTTTTTATTGATTTCAGAAAGGGAGGGAATCATTGATCAGCTGCCTTCGGCACACCCACACTGGGTATGGAGCCTGCAACCCGGGCATGTGCCCTGATCGGGAATTGAACCAGGACCTCCTGGTTCATAGGTCGATGTTCAACCACTGAGCCACACCAGGTCAGGCTGATGACGGTCTTTTAAGGTTGTGCCGTCTGGATCAAAGTACTCCAGATGTTTGCTCACTCTACTGCCTTTCTACTTAGAGCAGTGGTTCTCAATCTTGGCTGCACATTAGAATCACCTGGGAATGTTTTTAAAATCCTGATTTCTGGGCCTCATCCTGTTTCTTTGTTACTAATGTTGTGGCCTCACCCCATAACAAAGAAACAGAATTTTCGGAGGATGGGGCCCAGAAATCAGGATTTTATTTTATTTACATGCCCTTGACCGGAATCGAACCTGGGACCTTTCAGTCCGCAGGCCGACACTCTATCCACTGAGCCAAACCGGTTTCGGCAGAAATCAGGATTTTAAAAAGATTCCCAGGTGATTCTAATGTGCAGCCAAGGTTGAGAACCACTGACTTAGAGGGTGGTGGTCTGTGGATCAACAGCAATGGTATCATCCAGGAGATACAGGCTTTTAGGCCTCACTGACTCAGAATCTCCATAGTAACAAGACTCCCAGGTGATTCATACATACGCACATTGGAGTGCAGAGAGGCACTGCCCTATTCAAGATCAAGCTGATCTAGTTTGGGTCACATGTCCATCCCTTGACTAAAGGAGGTATGATACCATCATTGACAGTCCTGCCAGACTGTACCCAATGGCGGAAGATCATTCAAATCTCCTAGGTCAGGGTGCTATTACCAAAAGAATGGGAAATGAATATTGGGTGGCCAAGTATGCAATAAATATCCACTTCAACCCTTGGTCCTGTTTGGAAAGGTGAGGTTTGGAGGTATTTCCCCCCAAGAAGGGTTAACAAAGCTTTGTGTATTCATTAGATTTGGGCCCTCCTTTGAGGCCATGGAGTTATCTGCCCACGAAAGGGAATTTCAGGGGCTGGAAAAGGAAAGCCTCTCAACTCCTGGCAAAAATCCCTAGGGAATGGAAAGAAGGAGGGTCTGTGATGGACAAATTCCTGATTCAGTCTGAACCCTGTACCTCTGAGGCAGTGAGGTCTCGAAGGAGAAGAGCTGAGTGTATGCCCAGAAACACTGGCCCCTTAGAGCTGCAATTTGGGAAATCTTTGAAGGACCACGCTGACACACGCTGGAAGGTGCAGTCAGCAAAGCTTTGCTCTGGAGTAGACCAGCAGCGCCAGATGGAAGCAGGCCAGTGTTCAGGAACGACACATTGTAGCGATGGAACACAAGGAAGGCTTGGAAGTAGAAGCTTTTCTCTACTGAGGCGTGGACATCAGGTCAACGTCCTTTGTGGGCTATGTAAGCTCCTGGATAAGCCAGAGGAGGACAAGAGCCAAAGAGGGTGGTATTAAACTTCTTTTTTTTTTTTTAAATATATTTTATTGACTTTTCACAGAGAGGAAGGGAGAGGGATAGAGAGTTAGAAACATCGATGAGAGAGAAACATCAATGAGTCGCCTCCTGCACATCTCCCACTGGGGATGTGCCCACAACCCAGGTACATGCCCTTGACCGGAATCGAACCTGGGACCCTTCAGTCCACAGGCCGACGCTCAATCCACTGAGCCAAACCGGTTTCGGCGGTATTAAACTTCTTGCTACTCTGGTCCATGAGGCTCAAGCCACTTTTGATTTAATTTCAAGAACTACAGTCTGTCTTCTCTGCACTGGGAGCAGCTCCCCTCATCCCCTGAAAATGTATGCCTGCACCAAGTTTGTGTCCACCCCCTCCTTGGTCCGGAGCACCTCTCAGCTGAGCCGGTCACTGTCTGCAGTGGTGCTGAAATGACCAGAGACACTGACAGATGAGAGCCTCAGCAGCTTGGCAGCCCCACGTCCCCTGACCTCGCTTATTTCTAGCCGTAGCTTCCAAACCAGTGCCATTTCAAGGGACATCGACGTCTTGTCTGCCCTGTATGTTCCTTTTCCTATACCTCCCTAGGCAGCCTGGGGAAAGTGGTTGGCTCAGGGTTTGACAGAAGGAAGACAAATAAATACTGTATTAATAAGAAAAAAAAAAAAAGAACTACAAAAGATGTGACTATACTTGCACCTCAAGAATTGTAAAGTTGACGACCGTATTTCCCATGCTGCACTGCAACCCCCCCTCTTCTCTTCTGGTCCCAGGCACTTTGGGAGCCACGGGCTTCAGTGCAGACATGGCAAAGTCCAAGAGCCATACCAGACATAACCACTCCCAAAAATGGCACAGAAATAGCATCAAGAAACCCTAAGCAGCCCAGCTGGCATAGCTCAGTGGTTAAGCATCAACCAATGAACCAGGAGGTCACGGTTCGATTCCCAGTCAGGGCACATGCCCGGGTTGTGGGTTTGATCCCTACTAGGGGACGTGCAGGAGGCAACTGATCAATTATTCTCTCTCATCATTGATGTTTCTATCTCCCCCTCTCCCTATATATATATATCCTAAACCACAAAGATATGAATCTTAAGGGTGTGAGGCCGAAGTTCCTGACGAATGTGCTCTTTGCCAAGAAACACACCAAGAAGGCCCTGAAGAAGATGCAGGTCAACAACACCAAGGCCGTGAGTGCACATGAGGAGGCTATCCAGGCCCTCGTAAAGCCCAAGGAGGTCAACCCCAAGATTCCAAAGGGCAGTAGCCACATACACAGTCAACCTGCCTACGTTGCTCACTCCAAACTTGGGAAACATGCTCATGTATATAGCCAAGGGTCTTACCTTGGGCTCTGCAGTCCAAAGTCCAAGTCCAAGTCTCAAACCAAGGCCCAGGCTATGGCTGTGGCTCCAGCTCCAGCTCAGGCTCCCAAAGGTACCAAGGCCCCCACAGAGGCTTCAGAGTAGAGCCCTCTGTTTTTAGAGACAAAGGAATGGTGTGAGCCCTGGGCTACTGTTTGCATGGGGCTGGTTTCCTCCTGTGCTGTTTGTACAAAAAACCTGAGGCAGGATCTGTTCAAAAAAAATTGTCAAATTATTCATATAGTCTACATCTATTTTTATGTAATTATTAGTTCAGTGTCTCTCTTCCCAACCAGAAAACACCAGGAGGACAGGGACTTTGCCTGTCTTATTTATCTCTGCATTTCCAAAACCTAGCACATAGTAGGTGCTCAACAAATGTTTGTTGAATGAATGAATGTGATAGGGGTGCCAATGTTGTAGTGGCTTGAAGGCAAGGCATTGATATTGGACAAATCCAAAAGGCATCCACATGCCTTCTACCTGGATGCACCCAAAAAGTACAATCTGATATGGTCTCCTAGTTCTTTAACATTCATATCAAATGGCTCCAATCCTAGCTACCTGGAAAATTCAGTATCTCCCATAATATCTTTGAAGATTCTTGGTAGAATCTCCGCCAGTCTGACTGGTCGCTATGACGTGCACTGACCATCAGGGGGCAGATGCTCAATGCAGGAGCTGCCAAGCTGCAGTGATGCACCCCAAAACCAGAGAGGAGGAAGCCCAATTCCTGTGGGCCTTGTGATTCTACCTTTGACCATGGATTATGTTGTTGCTGGGGCACTGTCGGCCCCAAATCTGGTTTACTGCACCAAACTTCCTGCTTATTCTGGGGCCTTCTGCTACTATACACTGCCCTGCTAGGTGTCATGGCCGCATTTGTTGCTATATACGCCAGGGCAGTTCTTTTCACTGGGGGCTTTACTAGACTGCTATCAACAGTGCTTGGTCCTGTTTTCCCCCTGCTCTGGCTCCTCTTC